GGAACGGTGCAGTCTCCCGAGGCGTCAATGTCCTCCGGGTCGGTTCGTCTCAAACGACTCGTCGACAAGTTGGCAAATAACTCCTCCAGCAGCCTCCAGAGTGCTCGCTTCAGGAGGGTACATCTAGCTCGTTCCACCAGTAGATCAATTTCATTGAAAGGGTCAACCAAATTGTCACCTTGTGCAGAACCAGGCAGGTCTTTCGTTAGGCAGCCCACTAGTTGTGATCTGGATGGCATACCTGACTTGGGGAAAAGGGAAAATATCGTACATAAGTTTCAGAAAGAATAAAACTTCGAATAGGCATCTGTTCGATTTCCTCGGAAACGATCAAGCTAGTTCATTAAACGAGCGAGTTCATTCAAATCTCAGAAGAAGAAGAAGCGATCAGTGGACCAAGAGTTTAATTTTCCTGACGTTTCGGATTCTATCGAGAACCCTAAATCATAGGTGATGGTAGGATAGTCTGCGCCATGCGCAGCTAGGGTTGAAACATGCACAGATTGCACGGTATTTATAGTTCGTAGGGGTCATCCGCGTGCGCACTATAATTATCCGCTCCTGTAGCCACCGCTTGAGGTCTGTGCATGTTACACCCCTATCTGCGCATGGCTCAGACTACCCTACCATTATCTATGATTAATGATTCTCGACAGAATCCAAAACGTCAGGAAAATAAAACTCTTGTTCCATTAATCGTATTTTCTTCTTCTGAACTGCTTCTTGGAACTCACATATTCAATGCTATTGGTCATTCAAATCTGTGAGATTCAGAAAGAATCACAGCAGCAGTAGTAGGCAGAATATTATGCTTGAACGGAGAACATCCGCAGCATGGGGGATTAAGATCGAAGGAGTGTCGCACACCTGAGTGCCCTTAATTTACTAGACAGCCTTTGGAAGAACTTTCCCCCCTAGGTTACGGTACATGCGAAAGCATGCATTATTTCGAATGCAAAAAAGGTAGGGCAAAATGGAACTTTAGTGGACAATCTATAAATAACTTAAACACGTTTACTGGCACGTGCGACGGAGGACGGAAGATGTACAGACTCAGAGCCAAAAACTAAGCGATAACACAAACACGCGTCGCGCAGCGTTCCAAGCCGGCCATTCGACATCCCTGTCAACTTAGACAGCCAATTTGTGTGCACTGCAGCATGTAGCACGAGTGCGGTGGATTCAATAGCAATATTTTCCCGCGATGGATTCTCATGCACAAAATAACCAATCAACAACCGCCAGGCCGGAAAGTTCTCGAACGCCCTTCACGATTAGGCATGCGATAGGTCAACACTTTTGAGAGGGCTCGGGGCAACTCAACTTGGAATCCCCTTCAGAATATTTAAACAGTACAGTGCAAACAACCTTAAGGGAAACTTAACTACATTTTAAGCTGGTAATAGAGCCTGAGGCAAGACATTCAAACAGAAGGGCGCGAGCATACATGTTTCGGCTAAGGAAGTTTAAGGAAAAAACACCGGCTCGATAGTGAAAAAACCGTATAGACCTTTTTTACTGTCTGCTCAAATAACCTCTGATAGTAGAGAACGGTGACTATGAGGTTAAACAGTCGACTTAGTATGCTTAAAAAGCATTTGGACAAACGTAACATGTCAAGTCATGCCGGCGTAAAATCAGGAATGACAACCACCAAGCAAGCGTTGCAGTGCTATCCCCCAATTGTCAGCAAAGCTCGAGCGACTTAGCATAACGGTTCTTCTTAAAAAATCTGTCAACTTCTACAGAATGATTAAAAAATTTTCAATTGCTGAAAAAGCTAACACCGAATTTAAAAATGGACGAAACGCGTGTCCCAGCAATGCATTTCACATTGTGTATAATACCTATACTCATATCAGCAACAGCCACCTCTCATTTAGATGGCTCAGGTGCCGAAATCGATAACCATGGGATAAATGTTGTACTTACAATAAGCACTACACATTTGACGTTACCGACGACTCTCTGGTCAATGCAGCAGGGAACACATATGAAGTTTCCCAAAGTTACCCCTTCTTTAAAATAAGGGATTAATGCCCTTTCAGTGACTCAAAGATCAAGTGGGAAAAGAAACAACCGGAAAATGAAATTTTATATAGTTAATGAAACAACTCACTGGTTGCCCTGAGGAACCGGATCAATTCATTGACAAGCTGCCATTGACTATGCTCTATCGTTTTAGTCATCAGCAAAAGTGCACACTGAAAGTGAAGGTGAAAGAATGAATTTTTAATTTTTTTATAACACCGACTCATAACTAAGCGAATAAACAATCTTCTGAAAATGTCGCATAAACGCCTTTCTTGATAAGCAGAAAAAAGCTGGTCTTAAAACTGACGAAAATGGACTGAATGAAGGAGAGAGATTCTAGTACTAAACACTTACGTAAAAAGACGAACGCA